TGGGGAGGGGGGCTGGGGAGGAAGACTGGGGAGAGGGCTGGGGAGGGGGGCTGGGGAGGAGGACTGGGGAGGGGAGGTGGCCTGCAGGGGGCGCCACATCAGAGGACAAGGCAGTCCACAGGAGACCACACCACGGTGGTGCGTTGCTGGAGGGCAGCAGGGATGAACGGAGTGCAGCAGGGATGAACGGAGCACCACGGCTGCATATCGGGACAATCCATTAGAACATTCTGGGCCCGGCCTGGCCCGTGCATGGTGGCCTGGTCAGGTGTTCAGGTTCATGGTTTGCTGTGACACCGAGCCCCAGGCCGCATGCAGGCCAGTTCCCTGAGGACCAGCGGGCCCTGTGGCAGGCATGGGCGCCGGGGACAGCGGTGGGTGTCTTCCCCCTCCCCACACCCACGGGCAGCGGGGAGCTGCCGGGATCCCGGGAACTGCCCCTAGGAGACAGCCTGCGCGCCCCGTGGAGGCGTCCCCAGAGATCTCCGGCGTTGCTCTGGTGACGGTGAGGTGGCCCTTCCTCAGGACGTGGAGGCCGCACAGCCGGCCCGTCTCACAAGGAGCACTGCTGGCCAGCGGGGCCGTGGGGTGGGGGGAGGGGGGAGGGAGGAGCAGGGAGGAGCACCCATCCGCCCCCTGGGCTCCAGCCAGCTCTCGGGGTACCATGGAAACCCAGTGTCCCGGAGAGGGGTGGCTTCCTGTCCCTGCCTGAAAGCTAGGATGAGTTCTGGCTCATTCATTCAGTACTGTTCCTAGTACTGAGAGACAAAGTTACCAGCACCCCCAAGCACAAAGGTACAAAGATAACCAGCACCCCCAAACTCAGCCTCTGTCCTGGAGACAAAGGCGTTTTGTCTAGGCAGAGGGAAACACTTCTCTGATAGGTGTCTTTTGCCAAGGCATTTGGGGGTCTATTATGTATTTATTTTTAACAGTGCTGGGGGTTGAACTTGGGGCCTCGTGGGCCATGCGTTCAGCCCTTTCGCTTCTCCGGAGTCTTACGTTACCTTGGTTGGCCTTGGGCCTCCATGTCTTGCCTCTCCCTCCGGAGAGGCTGTGCGGATGCGTGAGGCTCTGAGGTCTTTTCACAGGAGGGCGCTGCACTGTGTGGAGGGCGCGGGGCAGGATGGGCGCAGCTGTGCTGGTAGGAGACTGGGCCAGGTGGGGTGGGGCGATGCTCACCTGAGCCTGGGGTGTTGGGGGGACTGGTCAATGCCAGGGTCACTCAGATCGGCCATCCGGCGCTGCCTGCTGCCTCTGCCTGTTGCCCAAAGCTTTGAGGAGCTCCCCCAGCCCCTTTTCGGGGGGGGGGAGCCGCGGGAGGAGATGCCACTTTGTGGCCGCTTGCGGATGCACACCGAGAGCCAGCCACCTTCCTGCTGATGTCAGGAGAGAAGGGCTAAACATAGCTCCCCAGCTGCTGCCGGGGCGGGGCTGGCCGGGGCGGGGCTGGCCGGGGCGGGGCTGGCCGCTGGCGCCTCCTTCCCCCCCTCACTGATTCGCTGATGGTGTCTCAGCTGGAAAGTTTGAGTGTGTGTGTGAGAGAGATAGTGTGAGTATGAGTGTGTGTGTGTGTGTGTGTGTGCACATGGTGGGGGGCGGTGGGTGGAGGGTCCCTCTGGGCCAGGCAGACTTCCTACGCTTCAACTGAGGCTTACCCTTTAGTGCCCCACCCCCAGCTTTCAGGGAACCTATACTTAATACTTCATTTGTGTTTGTGACTTTTGTATTCCTTTTCTATAAATTTAGTGTTCTTATAATTTAAAAAATTGTTTTGGTCAGTCATGGGGCTTGAACTGAGGGCTTGAAGGTTTTTGTTTTTGTTTTTGGCTTGTTTTTTTTTTTTTTTTTTTTTTGCTCAAGGCTAGCGCTCTACCGCTTTGAGCCATACCTCCACTTTCAGCTTTTTGGTGATTACTTGGAGATAGGAGTCTCATGGACTTTCCTGCCTGGGCTGGCTTTGAACCACAGTCCTCAGATCTCAGCCTCCTGAGTAGCTAGGATTACAGGTGTGAGCCATTGGCATCTGGCTTATAAAATGTGTATAAGTGAACATTTACATAAGGTGAAATAGATATATTTTGTGAGCTTGTAAAAAAGGTCTTAGAATGTCTTTGGCCTTTTTGATCAGGAGCATCAGCATCACAGGACAGTTCCATCCCCCTCCCCCCCAGTCCACTGGGGCTCTGCAGCTGTATGGCTGCCTCCTCCCTGCCTTCCCAGGCCCCACAGTGGGGCCCACAGGGTGCCCTCCCACAGTCTACATGCTTTCCATCCAGTCCTTTGGAGTCTGCCTAGGTCATTGCAAGGGAATGACCGGTTCTTTGGCTCTTTAAAAAAAAAAAATTCCGGAGTTGTATTCCATGGCGGGGGCCTTGTTTCTCCACTCCCCTGTGGAAGCAGCTTTGGCAATGATGAGTCCAGCCACTAAGGCTTCAGTGTGTATGTTTTCCTGCGGACATAGCTTTTGCTTCTAAAATAAATACCCAGGAGTGGGACTCCTGAGCCCTGTGATGGGGGTACGTTTAGCTGAAGTCTGGGAGACTTGGTCTCCAATTAACTAGCGAAATTCTAGACTAGAGGTGTGGCTCACGTGGTCGGATGCGGCCCTGAGTTCAAGCTCCAGTACCAGCTATATCTGTGTGGGTCTATTTCTGTCCACTAATCTGTATTTCCCTGTCAGTGCCGGTACCACAGTGTCTTAATTACTGTGGCTTTATAGTAAATTCTAAATTCAGATAGTGTGACTTCTTCCAATTCCTTTGCTTCAAATTCTTTTTTTAGCTATTTTAGGTCCTTTGCCTTTCTATATCTATTTTAGAATCTGCTAATCTATATTTGTGAAACATCTTGCTGGGATTTTTGTTGGAATTACATTAAATCTGTGGACCAATTTACAGGCAATTTTCATCCTAACCATATCCAGTCCATGAATGCAGTATGTCTTCCTGTTGTTTAGCTTCTCTTTAGTCCTTATATTGGCATCATGAAGAATGTAAGTCCTGTGCGCTTTCTTGCACCTATGAATTTTATTTTAGAGTGAATTTGAGTGGAATATCTTCTTAAAGTTTCCTTTTTCAGTTATTCCTTAATAGTTTGTAGAAATGCTGTTGATTTTATAGGTTGATTTTTTTATGTTAGTGCTATGATATGTACCTATATTTACTAAAAAATCATCTCACCAAGGAGGGACAAGATGGTATGCATCTGTGTGTGTGTGTGTGTGTGCGCGCGCACACACACGCACGCGCGCGCACTGGTACCAGGACTTGAACTCAGGGCCTTGCCCCATCACTGGACTTTTTGCTCATATTTGGTACTCTACCACTTGAACTACCAGCCCAGGATTTTGCTGACTGATTGGAGTTAAGAGTCTCTCCGACTTTTCTGCCTGGTCTGTCTTTGAACCCTGATCTTCACAACTTAGCCTCCTGAGAAGCTAGGATGTAAGTATGACTAGACAGGGCCCAGAAAAGTCAGACAGAGTCTCCAAGGTGAGAGCTTGTGGCGGACTGACGGGCTGTGGGGCGTACACCAAGGGTGTAAGGGCGTTTTCTATCAAGGGCCTGCAGACTGGGCTACGCTCAGAAGGCACAAATGGTCTTCCCAAAAGGTTGTGCAGGCAGCAGGCCCGTCTGCTTGGTATGAAGCCTGCTTGGCCACTTATGTAGCTAGGTAAACTGAGGAACTCTGCCTCAGTGTGCCATCTGGGGAAGGAGGTTCACGTAGCATCCCCCTCAGAGGAGTTCTGAGGAGGGAGCAGCACTGACTCGTGAAGGCCCGCAGGGCACACAGTGCCTCCAAGCACCACACAGGCCCCAACATGCGGCCCCACCTGGTGCTCTGTGAAGCCTTTCTACAGGATGCTGGCCTGCAGTGCAGCCAGGGTCCAGCCTGGGGAGGGGCCCTGCCCCACAGTATGCAGGCTGAGGCCCAGGCCCAGGCTGTGGCCAGGTCCCTGCGTCCTTGCTCACGGTGCGTTGCAGGACATGGTGTTCTTAGGGAGCACTGGGGCCCACACCGGGGCTCGCTCACGCTCTGCACCGGGCACTGCCGCATAGAAGGGCACAGGTATGAGATCACCGGTGTGCAGCTTCCTTAGGGTCTGGTGCCCTCGTGTGGCCACGGGCAGAGCCTGCATGCACAGCCCTTGAGTTCCAGCGAGCGGAGGCCGGGCTGGCTGCCGGCTGGTACCAGCTTGCCATCAGACTAGTTCCTGTAGTTAGGTCTGCTCATGGACCTGGGGCGCTGGGCGAAGAGAGGACAAACGCAGAAGAGGGGTGCAGCATGCCCACTATTCCTGTTTCCCAGAAGACTCTGAGGCCAGGCAGGGACAGCATCATGGGGCTGCCACCTCTCCCTCCTCCCTGGACCCCACACAATGGGAGGTTTGCACATTTACACCCTGCTCCCCCCCCAACAGAATCAGCCAGTCACAGAGTCTGGTTCTAGCGTCCACTCTGCCTCTGTCTTCCTGATTGGGACAGAGACAGAAGTGAGGCAGGTCTGGCCTTGGAGTCCTCTCCTGCAGGTATGGGTGGCCTGGGGCAGTGCAGACCCCATTACGCCGCACCTCTCCCCTACCAGCTGGGCCCAAGCCTAGAGGAGGGGGGAGGAGAGAGCAGGACAGGTGTGGGCGTTTGCTGTGGGTGTCAGGACAGGGAGTCTCACTCCACGGCAGAGGCTGCACACCCTGGTGTCCAGGAGGAACAGCATCCAACCCGACTCCTGGTGCTCTGCGCCCCTACCTCTGTTTGCTACTCCGCCCAAGATGCACTCTGGCTTTGCCTTTCCCTGAGTGTCTTGTCACTCCAGCTTCACAGACACGGCGTGACTGGCTTCTCCTGGCGGGCATTAGTGAATTAGCCAGGTCTGGGCCCATTGCCCCGTGTGGCCTGACTGGATGGGTGGAGGGGCCGGGAGCCAAGGCAAAGGAGGAAAGGCAGGCCTGAGGAAAGCTGGGACCAGGGTGGGTACGCTCACTCTGCACACGGCCACTCCTTCACCAACTGGGTTACTTGTGAGGTGGGAAAAGCAGTCTGGGGTCTCAGTGTACCCCCTAGGGAGTGTGGACCTGCAGCCTCCGCCCTGGTGAGAGTCTGGGGCCCACAGCATGAGGGTAGAACGGGGTTGGGGCCAGCTGCCACCTTTGGATCCGTGAGACTCGGCTCAGGGCTCTGCCTGACATGCAGCTTTTCCACATGCTGCTGAGTGGCCTCCATGCACCTGCTGTGGCTCCATGCACCGGCCAGTATGTCTGCGTCTCCTGACACTCTGCCTGCCCAAGCTGACCAATCTGCCTTCCCTGCCCCCATCTGCTTTTCCAGCCCCCCAAGTTAGTGAAGATGAGGTTCCTCCTCCTGCCCTCTCCTCTCTCCCCCTCTCCTCTCTCCTCTCTCTTCTCTCTCTGTGTCGCCTTGCCTATTTTCTGTCTCTCTCTATGTCTCTCTCTCCCATCCCTTAGTTACCTAACCCCCCAAATTCTACAGATTGGGTACAACTGTGTTCCATACTTTCCTGAGCCTCTCTTCTGCTTTCCTGAAAGCACAGACTCCCAGAGGGCAGGGGTGTGTGTGAAGCATCGCAGCCCACAAATGACAGACTCTGTAACAGAACTGGAGTTCGGTGCGCAGCCTTACTGCACTCCCCAGCCTCTGTGTGTTGCAGGGAGATGAGCAGGTCTGCCTCACAGGGCATGCTGGGAACCCATGAGCTGGCACAGCTGCAGGAGCCACTGTAGGGCCCTCACTCCACTCACAGGAGGCTGGTACCCCTGCTCACCCAGGAGGCTGGTACCCCTGCTCACCCAGGAGGCTGGTACCCCTGGTACCAGGAGGCTGGTGGAGAAGCGAAGTGTCTGCCCCTGTGCCTGGTGGATCCCCGCAAAGCACTCACCCCAGATCTCCCTAAGACTCCCAGGAAACTCTGTGTGTATGTGTGTGTGTGTGTGTGTGTGTGTGTGTGTGTGTGTGTGTCTTGGTCGTGAGTCTTGAACTCTGGGCCTGGGCACTGTCCCTCAGCTCTTCAGCTCAAGGCAAGCACTCTACCACTTGAGCCACAGCACCACTTCTGGTTTTCTGAGTGGTTTATTGGAGATAAGAGTCTCACAGACTTTCCTGCCCAGGCTGGCTTTGAACCATGATCCTCAGATCTCAGCCTCCTCTCAGGAAGCTTGAGAGAAAGCTATGACATTATTCTCTGGATGTCAAGTGGGGGCTTGCTGTTGTCACCCATAGCCTAGTGGGCACCTGTCAGGGTACCTTGAGAGAGTCCTGGATCTGTCATCAGTCGAGGGACTCAGCGCATGACTAGCACGCCAGTGAGGGCCACCATTTGCAATTGGGGCTGGGGCAGGGGCATCACTGTGTGATCTTAGGTTCTGCTACAAACACATGCTTTCAGATTGTGGTTTCTAAAGCACGCGGGTCCACTCATGAGGTGCTCAGGCAAGGCCTCCTCTCCTCCCCCCCTCCTGGGGGAGGGGCGCAAAGCCCCTGCCACAGGCTCTTGTCCTGCAGTTCACAAATCTGATGTCAACCTGTTTAGACACTGCCTTCAACATACTGTGACCGTGCCATCCTGTCTGGGCTCCTCAGCCCCAGGGGAGAGCCCCCCTCCCCCCATCTGACCCATTCGACCCCCAGTGGGTGGGTGGGTCAGACATTGCCCTAGGCGCTCAGATGTGGTAGGAAGCCAGCAGCCAGTGCCAGGCTCTACAGCTCACGTGATCCAGCAAGGGGTAGGAAAGATGGGGGGGGAGCAAGGAGGCAGGGGGTGAGGTGAGAGGGCTGCAGCTCTGAGTGGAAGGGCTCCGGATTATTTTAAGCTCATGGGAAGTTCTGATTCTTGATCTTAAACAGGCCAGCAAAGCCTCACTTGCCTACCGTTGTGTTTTGAGTAGATCCTGCCTAACCGAACCTCAGAGGCTGTGGATGGGTTTTGGTATATTGGGTCTTCCTCTTGCCTGGGCTTTGACCCAGTTCCAGAGAGTGCGGGTGGAAGGCTCACCCAGGGTGAATGCTCGCTGTTGCATGCCACCCTGCCAACGGTGCCCCCAACTCACAGTGAAGAGCAGGAGGAGGACGCGGGCTGGAATCGCCCTCCATCCCAGGGTTCACAGGACCAGCGCTGCTTTTGCCTGCACCTGCCTTCTACAGCTATTGTCCCTCCCAGGAGTCCAGAGTCACAGGGAGGGCTCAGGCGATTCCAGATGGTCTCAGGGCAGTGGTTGCCCTGCGGGCTTTGGTCTCTGGTGTAGCAATGGTATGCACAGGCTTTGGGGGACAGAGGCCTGGGGTCCACCCTACTTTGTCCTCCAGTCAGTTCTGGGTGCTTGTATAGCCAGGGTGGCCTTTCTGAGTCCCAGCGGATCTGTGTGTGACACACCTGAGGGTTACACCTATTTGCTCCCCCATGGGTGTATCGGGCCAGCAGCCGCAGGGGCGCCCACTCGCCGGAGTGCTCTCCCGGGGCCCTGAACCCGAGGACACCCCACCTGCCTACCCTCCACCTCCCCAGAGGGGCCTGAGTGGCAGGGGGGGGGGACTTTTCCTCTCTCAGGATGAGAGCCTTGATTGCCTCCCCCCACCCGCGCCAGATTCCTCCATGCTCAGCACAGGGCCCTGGGGCCTGGAGGACGCAAAGCCCCACCCAGGCCTCTGGAGGGCTGCAGGGTTGCCCATGACTGCCGGTGGCTTGGGCTTTGGGGGGACGGGCAGGGTCCTTCCGCAGCTCCCACTCACCGACGCCTGTGTCCTGCCCCGTGTCTCCGGCAGGTATATCCGCACCATGTACCTGGGGATTCAGAGCCAGCGGCAGAAGGAACACCAGCGACGCTTCTACTGGGCTATGATGTACGAATATGCAGACGTCAACATGCTGCGCCTCCTGGAGACCTTTCTGGAGAGCGCCCCACAACTGGTGCTACAGCTCTGCATAATGATCCAGAAGAACAGCGCAGAGACGCTGCCCTGTGAGTGTGAGCCGGCCCGGCCCCGCCCCCTGCCAGGCCCCGCCCCGCACAGACCACGCCCTGCCACGCCCACCCTTCCCCTGACAGGCTCTGCCCCACACAGACCACGCCCACAGCAGGCCACACCCAGGCGAAGCCGTGTCCCACATAAGCCACCTGTCCCTGGCCAGGCCCCGCCCCATACAGACCACACCCACCGTGGCCACACCCAGGAAACACCACGCCTCACACAAGCCACGCCCTTCACTGCCAGGCTGCCTCTTATGTACCCACCCCCCTGGAGATCTCCCATCCTGGCCCTCAGTCCTCTGGATGTCCAGCCTAGGGCAATGTGACCCACACTGCAGAGGTCCCCCAACCTCCCTTATCCAAGGTCCTGTTTATCTGAGCCTGCAGAGCCAGGTCTCCTGGGTCCAGCAGAGCAGAGAGCCCTGGGTGAGCCTGTCCAGTGGATCCGGCCCTTCTTTGTGCTGGCCTCCAGCAGGGTTTGCACTGTTGTGGGGATGGAAACGTGGGCAAGGAGGCAGCAGCAGCATGTGTAACTGAAAAGCAGCATCAGCCCTGAGCTGGTGGCTCACGCCTGTCATCCTAGCTACTCGGGAGACAGATCTGAGGATCGCAGTTCAAAGCCAGCCAGGGCTGGCTGGAGGTGGAGCTGTGGCTCAAGTGGTAGAGTGTCAGCCTTGAGTGAAAAAGCTAAGGGACGGCGCCCAGGTTCTAAATTCAAGCCCTAGTGCCAGTACAAACGACCAAAACAACAGCCCAGAATCAGGTTAAAACCCACTCCTGGTTGTAGAGATGTTAAAGTGTGGTGTTTTTGCCTCTAGCCTGTGGAAGCCCTGCCTGCTCCACGGGCTGAAGGGGTTGTTAGATCTAGGAGTAGTGGGTAGTCTCCAAGGAGCCTCAAAAGCCCCAGAGCACATCCTATGAACTGCTGTCTCTGGGAAATAGAAGATTCTAGAACACCCCCTGGCTGGTCTTCTCTGGGAAGACCTTCCAAGGTTAGACTACCTGGTCCAGGCAGAGCCTTGAACTATGGCTCTGAATGCCAGCCCAGCTACACGTACCGTGGTCCGGTGGTGCTCAGAGCCCATTCCTTGGGGGGGGGGGGGAGAGGGAGGAGGACAGTGGAGGAGTCTGGGATGAGAAGAGACCAGAGATGGTGACTCGTGGCAGGGGGCAGGGGAACAGAGGGTCTTTCGTCTGGGCAGACTTGGGACAGGTGAACACCAACATCCTCAGGGCTGGCAAGAGGGAGAAGAATCATTCTAAAGGTCAGGGCAAGCTGAAGGCAGATGGTTGGCAACTCAACAGCGAGCGATGTTGCAGCTAGCTAGTCATGGACTAGGAGGTAGAGAGTTTGTTACCACTAGGAGTATTCAAAGCAGAGAAGTTGCTCATGTCATTTGGCCCACAGGGCTGTGTGATCTGGGCCAGCAGGCAGCTGGGGGCGGGGTGGAGGCAGGGGTCCACCCTGCTGGTCCTTGGCTCTCTCTGGCCAGTGCGCCTTCTGGCTTCCTGGGTCACCTCCAGGCTCTGGAGTCCTCTTGTGGTGCCTGGCTGTTCTATTCTTGGTGCTGCTGCTTTCCTTGTAGATCTGCTTGCTACATTGGGCTGTGGGCTTTACTAGTGAGCTCTGTAACTCTTGGTGAGCCTTACTGTGACTCCTGCCTGTCTGTGCCATTCATTCACAGGCAGTTAGAAAGATCACCAACACAACCGCCATTCTCTTATTGGTCAGCTTTTCCATCCATCCTGCCCTCTGCCAAGCTCTCCACCCGACTCTCTCTCACCTTCTTGCAATTCTCAGTCTGCAAGATGGATCTCATGTCTAGTCTTCCCACAAGTGCAGATCCCAGTGAAGTAATATGAAGTGCAGGTATCAATCCTTCAAACGTGCAGCTCTGACGCCCTGTGCCCGCCAGGCAGGGTGCCCGTGCCTCCTGAGCCTATGAGTTCAGGTTCCTAGAGTTTGGGATGGGGTTTGGTTTGGAGACTACTCTGGTGTAAGGGTAAAGGCAAAGGCAGCCACACGCGCCTTTCAGGACTTCAGGGTGCGGAGGAAGTTTGTGTCCCAGCATCTGTAATGTGGGAATGGCGGCGCTTTGGGTCCCACGCGCCCATGTGCCCACGGCCCGTTGCCTGACATGCTGTGGGTTCCTGGCGTAGTCTGCCCTTCTGCACACATGCATCAAACATGGTGCCTTGGTGTGTTCTGAGGAAGCTGGGAAAGAGCAGGTATGGTTCTCCATGTCTTGAATCTTCCATCCTCTCTGAGGACACAACACAAAAACACAAGTAGAGCCGGGCATCGGTGACTCACTTCTGTAATCCTAGCTACTCAGGAGGCTGAGATCTGAGGATCATGGTTAAAAGCCAGCCCAGGAAGGAAAGTCTGTGAGACTCTTATCTCCAATAAACCAATAGAAAACCAGAAGTGGTGCTGTGGCTCAAGTGGTAGAGTGCTCACCTTGAGCTGAAGAGCTGAGGGACAGTGCCCAGGCCCAGAGTTCCAGCCCCAGGACCACCACCATCAACAACAACAACAACAAAACAAGTAGGCAGGCGTGTGGTGACATGCACTTGGATGCAGGTACTCATGATGCTGAGGCAAAAGCTAACTGAGGGGCACCTGGGGCCCAGTGGCCCCACTTTGAGCAGAGGTCAGAGAAAGCCTCCAGAAAGCTGCCATTTGAGCTGAGTAGAGTAGATGAGGAAGGAGGTACAGAATCTATCTTTCAAACAATGGGAATAAATAACCTGCTCACAGGCCCTGAGGTAGGAAAAGCCTCATTGGTTCCAGGAAGCAAAAGACTCAGCATGGTGGGTCTTCACAAAGACACCTGCCCTCAAGAGTTCGGAGTCAAGGGCTCCGTGTTTTTGATTTTGTGATAGACACACGTACAGGTGCTTTGGGGGCACAGAGGATGGGCAACTGTTTTGTGGGTACAACAGAAAGGGACCTTGGTAGGTGAGTAGGAGCTCACCCAGAGAAAAAGTTGAGAGTTCTGTACTAGTGACCCCTGACCCATGCCACCCCTCTCCTGGTACACATCTGGATGGAAATGTTGCAGGAAGACGGAAGTAAAGAGCAGAGGCCTTGGGCAAAGGCCATCTCCTGTACCTGAGATGCCAGGGGGAAAGGAGACCGTCACCCTGGCTTTTGCTCAGCTGGGGAGGCAGCTCCCTGTGCCAGGCTGGCTGTGTGGAGGTGTCTGTACCCTCCGGTGTCCCCCCTTTCAATGGAACATCTGTTAACACACAAATGGATATTTGAATAATAGACTACACATGTGTAGAGTGCATGTTTATACTCTATATTAGATACACTCTATCCATGCACACATTTTATATAGAGCATGCATACATAGATAAATCATATGTATACAGAGTACCAGCTAAGATGTAACAACATGGCTTACATTCATAATTCGTAACATGCTCAAGTCTGTATTTCTATCCCCTGGTTTAAAAATGGTAAACCGAGGCTCGGCAACTCCCCTGCAGAAAACCACACAGCCAGGCCTGCTCATGGCAGCTTGTCTTGCAGGTGTCTTCCTGCTGCTGCTCTGATGCCATTGTTTCTGGGAGCAATGGGACTGAGCCGGGCTGTGGTTGCTCCTCAGCAAAGATGGATCTCCTGGACTCACGGGGTTGGCGCTGGCTTGCCAGGACCAGGCACCCACCCGCTTTGTGCTGTGGCAGTGGACTGGCTGACATTTGTTCTAGAATCTCTAGGGCTTGCCTTTATCCAGCTGGCTGGGAAGATGGCATTTTGCTATCTCTGGCAGCATCTTAGAAAGGAGAGACAAGGAAGGGAAGCTGGAGCTAACTTTCCTTCTGCTGAGTCCTTTAAATGCTGAACTTGACCTTGAGGCTCTTCTGTCGAGAGCTAACCCCTCTTTGGGGTCCACCAAGGTCCTGGAGTGGCTTTCTGGGACCCTGCAGGCTGCTGGGATGAGTCCAGCGACATTTCCCGCCACCCCTGCTGTGCTGGTGGCTACTGGAGGAACAGGAATGCAGTTAGGATCCTGTGTATAGGAGTGGGCCGTTTCTTTTCTTTTTTGGGGGGTGGGGTCTGGTCGTGGGTCCTGAACTCTGGGCCTGGTTGCTGTCCCTCAGCTCTTCAGCTCAAGGCAAGTGCTTTACCACTGAGCCACCTTCCCAGCCCCCAGTGGCTGTTTCTTTAGGAGCAGAGCTAGACAGAAAGTGGCTCATGGCTTCCCATTATGTCAGCACCATACCCGATAGGCCCCTTCAGGCTGTCCACCACCACTCAGGAATGCTCCTGCAAACGCTTACCTCTCCAGATGGGAGAAGCAGACAAGTGTAGTTTGTTGAATCTTATAGGATGTAAGCTGCAAGGGTCACTGCCCAGAATGTGTCATGGCAGGACACAAGGCATTTGACACTATCCAGCCTGGCTGGTGGAACACAGACAGAGCTGAATGTGGACCGTGGATACTCCCAGGCCCTGCCAGGCAGGTTCCGGGACTTCTGCAGCCATCTTGGCAGCTGGGGTCTTGCCTGGGAGAAGGCATCAGGCTCTGGATTGGCCTCAGACCACACAGTCGTCTTCCCAGGGGTTGGAGGTAGAGAACAGCGTTGGAAGATGGACTGCCTCCCCCAGGGAGGAGCCCCAGCTTCTGGTCCTAGTCCCCATTTTCTCTGTGGCCTGAATCCCACTCTCTGAGGAAGCTAAGTAGAATTCAGATTGGATTTTTGGCCCAAGAATTCAGGGCCTCTTGCAGATTCCTTTCCCGTCCACCCCTGCAAGATCCAAACCTTTTGTATCCCTGTCTCCTCCCGGCGGCTCAGTCCCTTACAAAGCATCTGGGGACCATTAGCCCAGTGACCACATGTAGCATAAAATCTTGTTTCTGTCTCTTGGCAGGTGCATGCTCTGGGGAAAAGTTCTTAAATTTCTATACTTAAAAATGATGCTAAGGGAAGTAGCACTGTGGCTCAAGCAGTAGAGCGCTCGCCTTGAGCTGAAGAGCGGAGGGACAGCGCCCAGGCCCAGAGTTCAAGCCCCACGACCGACATAAATAAATAAATAAAATAATATTAAGTAGAGTACCAACACCACCATCTCAGAGTGCCACAGACATTCCCTTTGCCTTATCTCTGTGTGTGCCCCGGGAGTCTTTCCCTGTGCCGGTGTCTTGTCCCTGCCCCACTGAGCTTTCCCCTCAGCTGTCTTCCTGAGGCCTCGCAGCACCACTGAAAGGTGCGCTCTCCATCCTGTGTGCTGCTCAGGCCATAGACACTTGGTCCACACAGTGTGGCTGATGTCGCCAGTAGATCCAGAGTACTCAGTGGGTGTCTATGGAGCGCTTGTCTAGCATGTGTGAGGCCCCAGGTTCAATCCCCAGTCCCACCACCAAAAAAACCCCAACAAGTTCACCTGGCCAGCAGTGGCAGTGGGGACACAGAATATATGAAAGCAACTTCCTGAGACTGTCCCAGAGCTGAGGAGAAGCCAGGTTCCGGCCGCTGAGGTGGGACCTCAGGTTCTCCAGAAACCTCTGCCTGCGTCAGCCCAGGAGCCAAAGCGGCTGCACTCCATGCCCATGCAGCATGCAGGTGCGACTCGCAAGACCACGGCGCAGTGCCCAGTGCCGGTGGCCGGCGAGGTGGGAGGAAGCCCGCCCCGCCCTGGCTGCTCAGGAGAGAGTTTCTGTTTGGTTTCCATGGAGAAATTGTGGTCGCGAGTCAACAAGAGTAACGTAGGAGCCGGGCCTGTAGGTGGCTCGGGCCTGTACTGCAAGCTACTCAGGAGGCTGAGATCTGAGGATCACAGTTCAGTTCCACACCAGCCTGGGCAGGAAAGTCCATGAGAGTTTTATCTTCAATAAACTACTAAAAAAAAAAAAAGCCGGAAGTGGCGCTGTGGCTCAAGTGGTAGAGCCTTGAGCACAAAGAGGCTCAGGGATAATGTCTAGGCCATGAATTCAAGTCCCGGGACTGACAAAATAGAGAGTAACCTATCCTCATTGTGCCGGCCAACCATCCCGGTGTTTTCTGTGCATATGCCAACATGCCGGCTTGTTATCACACCAGATTGTTCTAAGCTTGGTCTTAAGATGAGGGCAGAAGAAGAAGGGGCCTTCTAAGCTAGGGCAGGGAGGGAAATGCTGGGAATGCTGGGGCTGTGGGGGCAGGGGAGACCCCGACTCTTCTGGGGTGTTTGGATCATGGTACGGAACGGGGCAGGAGCTGCAGGGCAAGTGTGGCAGGAGATGAGCTGGGATAGAGTCTGGGATGTGTAAGGCTCCCGGGTCCAAACTCTGTGCTTCAGAGAGAGAAAGAAGAATGTCGTAGAGAACTAGTGCTCCCGGGAAGGTGGATAGCTGGGTAGGAAGATAGCCCGTGGAAGACGTTCCATCTGCACTGTGCTCAGTTCTGAATCTTAGGCAAAAGGACCAACCAAAGAGGCGCTTGGAGGCCTGGATGGTGCTACGCGGGAGGAGCTAAGGATGGCGGTGGGGGATCTCCTGGCCGCTATGCTGGGCCTGTGGCGCTGTTCCTGGCTGCAGTGGAAGATTCAGGGAAGATGAGCCTACCACCCTACCGGGTGGGTGGAGTCAGAAGCAAAGCTGCTGGGCGGGGGTTTCAGTGACAGCTGGGCTGAAGTCCCTGGAACTCTGCCTCTCTGTCTCCCAGCAGGTGCTGCGCGGAGGCTGGACTCAGAGGGCAGCCAGAGGAAGCAAGGGCGGGCCTGGGAACAGGGAGCAGGGATTCCCTGAGAAAGCAACCCGGGTTTGTGCAGGGTTTCAAGGCAAGCAGGTGTGACAGACAGAGGTGGCTGGTTGGATGGGCCGGACACCCCAAGACCGCCTTCTGTGGTGGATGAGGAAGAAGCCGACCGAAAGTTTAGGGAAGGGCTTGGGAGACCCCATATCAAGTGAGAGAAGGCAGGAGAGTGGCAGAGAGTGGCGCAGAGGACAATGGAGGAGGGAGGATCTTGGGCGAGGCTGCCGGAGGAAGGGCACCCGTGCAGGCCCAATGTTTGCATGCAACAGAGGCCCCTCCCAGATGTCACCCCAACCCTCCAAGCCAGACCCAGGGGCTCCACTTCACTCCTGAGCCATGGAGCTCTGCACCCTCCCACCCACCCGAGACACCCCAAAGCTGTCAGTGTAGGGAACGGTTGGGGCTCTGTCTGCTTCCTGATTTTGTGTTTCTTTCTCCCTCCTTCTTTAGATGGCAGTGTGTGTGTGGGGGCATCTCCTCAGCTGGCAGCCCCCCCCCCCGTTGTCCCTCGCAGCTGACGGCCGAGGTTTTGACCGTGTGGGTTTGTGTCTTTCCGCAGGTGTCTCCTCTGTGACCTCTCTGATGTCCCTGGCTTGGGTGCTAGCCTCCTATCACAAGCTTCTGCGGGACTCGAGGGACGATAAGAAGAGCATGAGCTACCGAGGGGCCCTCATCCACCTCTTCTGGCGCCTCTTCACCATCTCATCCCGGGTTATCTCTTTTGCCCTCTTTGCTTCCATCTTCCAGCTGTACTTCGGGATCTTCGTGGTGGTGCACTGGTGCGCCATGGCTTTCTGGATCATCCATGGCGGGACGGACTTCTGCATGTCCAAGTGGGAGGAGATCCTCTTCAACATGGTGGTAGGGATCGTGTACATTTTCTGCTGGTTTAACGTCAAGGAAGGGCGGACTCGATACCGAATGTTTGCATACTATACGATAGTGTTGACTGAGAATGCGGCCTTGACATTCCTTTGGTATTTTTACAGAAACCCGGAGAGCACTGACTCCTATGCGGTGCCCGCACTGTGTTGTGTCTTTGTTAGCTTTGTGGCTGGGATCGTGCTGATGCTCTTATACTATGGTGTGCTGCATCCCATGGGGCCGCGGGCTAAGATCTTTGCCAGCTCCTGTTGTGCCGAGCTGCTCTGGGGCATCCCTTTGCCCCCCGACGTTGAGCCCATGGCACCTCAAGCCCCTGGGTACCGGGGGACCCAGGTCACGCCCACCAGAGCCGTGCCGGGACAACAGGAGGACCTCATGGCCGATACTTGCTTGCCCGTGTTCCAAGTGAGACCCACGGGGCCCTCGACCCCGACGGGGCGCCCTCACCCCCCCGAGGGGCCCCTCATTAAGATTGACATGCCAAGGAAACGGTACCCAGCCTGGGATGCCCACTTTGTAGACAGGAGGCTGAGGAGGACGATTAACATCCTGCAGTATGTCACCCCCACGGCGGTGGGCATTCGCTACCGAGACGGGCCGCTCCTCTATGAGTTGCTGCAGTACGAATCTTCACTCTAGAGCCTCTTGACCCGAGTTGAGACGGAGACCTTAAGTTTGGTTGCGGCGAATGCCGCTCGCAAGAAATCTAACCCTCCCTCTCCCAACACACAGAACCACCACCACCACCTCCCCACCACTACCACCGCCACACCAACACCAACAGCAACACCAACACTAAGAACAAATCAATAAGTCACATCCCCTTCAGATAAGCTTTCTTTCCAGTCGCTGTATGTATACAAAGATATTCTCTATGTTTTATAAGTAAAAACAAAAAGAAAATCTTCCTTTTGTTTTTTACACACAAGAAACAGTATTAAAAAAAAATCCCACACTATGAATCATAGGTGGAGAAGGCATTGTCTCCTCTCCATCAGAAAAAAACAACACAATTTTATACCTTACACCAAGTGTAGATTATTTATGGGATTGGTGCTGATTGAAAGAACAAAACAAAACAAAACAAAACAAACAAACACAAACAAACAAAACCTTCAACTGCCTTATGCCCTTAGGTGCTGAGTTTCATTAAGTACTGTCATATTTTCTCATGCAAACCTCTCTGGTGACATTTGTACCAGAAGAGAGAAAATTAAATAATCAAATGAAACAAATCCACCAAGGAAACAAAAATCAAACTAACCAACAGAGACAATACAAAGCAATCATTCTTCCTATCTGATTATTTGTGTCGAAGAAAACCAATTACTAAAAGCAAAGGCATAGCAACCCCTCCTCCATTGGATTTCTCTCCTCCTCTCCTGTCCTTCCCCACTCCACAGAGCCTTCTAGGAGCTGAAGGGCTGTTTGGATCTCAAATGGCTAGCAAAGCTACTTGAAGGCTGACTATGTGCCATTTTAGCATTTACCTAGCAAGAATCGCTTTTGATTCCTCTCGAAAGGCGAGACAGAATACAAACAAAAAGGTACCCTCCTAATTTGGTAAATTCTAAAAGCAAATCAAAGGAGATTCCCATATATGCCATCAAAGAGAACCAGTAATAATAAAACTCAGCATAGTAGCAAAAAGAAAGACATCTATTTAAAGGCACAATACTTAATCTGTGACTGGCAACAATCTCTTCCATCATTTTAAGGCTGCGAATGGTATGTGTGGGACACGTGCAAGCCTGTGCAAGGATGGTTCTGTTTCCATTCTGTGGGAAGCCTTAAATTGATCTGGAAAGAATCTTCATCTTTCATTTGTGCTTTTTTTTAATTAAAAAATAACACAAAGAGGAAAGCTAGAATATATATATATATATATATATACATATATAAAAAGTCAAGTTGTAATAACTAACTCATTTCAAAGACTGTTTGGTGCTTCTGTCATTGTGGTTGGCTGAGACTCATTCAGCTCCCTTGGTGCATCTGGGTTTTGTGTGTGTGTGTGTGTGTGTGTGTGTGTGTGTGTGTGCCCATCCATAGAACGTGTGTGTGTGTGTGTGTGTGTGTGTGTGTCCCTGCTGCAAGGTCTTGCCAGAAATACACAAAACTACTCTTAGGCTGTGATGGCTGGTAGCGGGGAGCGGGAGGGGTTGGGTGGGGAGGAAGGGGGTCAACTGTGTTTGCACAGGGGTCCCCCTGGAGGACGCATCCCTACCAGCAGCACAGCTGGGTCTTCCAGCCCACATGGTTTGGGTGAGGGTTCGGTTCACCTGTTTATTTTCTCATTGTATCCAGTTGAATTTCTGGGAGGTGTTGTGAGTATGGTTGACCATTCGTGAAATTTTTGTTTTTCAGAGTATTGTTTCTCTAAGGACTTTTTCTGTTTGGGGACATTGTTTCAATAATATCGTATATCTACTTGGGCACAAAAAAAAAAGGAAAAGAAAAAAAATCACAAAAAGAAAAATATCTCCACAAAAAGATATATATACATACATATACATATGTGTATATATATATATATACACACACACAATATTTTAAGTAAATACTGTTAGTCTTTGTTGTGTGTAGTACAATTTTAAAAAAATTCCAGATAAAAATGTTAAGGGTGCAAAAACCTCACATTGAACTGTTCTTAAAAAAGTTCAAAAATGAGGAGTTCTTTTTTTTTTAATGTTTGTGGAGGTTTTTTTTTTAAAATTATTATTCAAAGAGGCTTCTCCTTCCCATGGCCTGCATTGTTTATCTAGCGCTTTCTAAATGCACTTTCAGACCTGCTTCATCTCTGGTGCAACCCGCCCTTCCCTACCACAGCACCCTCTCTCTAGAAAGGGCCGAGTAGAGCACACCGGGCCATAAGACCAGCGGCCACCTCTGCTTGGCAAGGCTGCGCCAGGCTGCAGGGGCGGCACAGGGGTGGGACCCCCGGCATCCCCTGATACTCCTGGACTTCCCAGGCTTGGGAGCTGCTCCGTACTCTGCTGAGAACACAGGGAAGGTGAGGCTGTGTGGGGGAGGGAGAAGCCCCTTGGCTAGATGGGGTTCCGGCTCTTGTCTACCCCACATCAGGACTCTGGGTGCCCCAAAATAGCTCCCTTGAAACTCTCCCTTGTGCCACCCCTGGGACCTCTGCCACTCCGTCTGTTCCTAGATGAATTTCTATTTCCTCTTTGCTTCTCTGTCAGAGGCTTTGATTCACCACTGCTTACTTACTACAGGTAGCACACACGTGTGTGTTTTGTGTTTACATGAAGCGTAAGAGAAACTGCAAGTGTTGACCCGGATCATTTGAAGTTGGAAGACAGCTTCTCGAGCTGGGAGGACTTAGTTCGGGGGGTGAGCTAGGCAGCCCCAAGCATTTCTCTGGCCTTTTTCCTCCAGCCTTCTTTGGACTGAGTTCTCTCTTCTGTGGCATCTCTACCCCTTCTCCCGAATCCCCTGTCCTGCTGCCTCGCACCCCCCTTCCCAATGCAGGTGCATCCATGGGCAGCAGCGGAGGAAGACCAGAGAGGGAGGAGAGGAAGAACGCAAAACAAAGCAATGGGAAACAAGGAAGGAACAAGGGAGCAAGGGTGCAGATAGTGTGGCCAGATCAGACTTTTCCTGTCACCACATCATCTTTACCTTCTAACAGTTCCTTCCACCGGGAAACCTTCTCCCTACTTTTTCCAGGCACCAGTACCTCCCCCCAGTCTTCTCTCTCCCTCTGTGTCTTTCTCCTGCAGAGATGGGCTGAGTGTCATTGTGGTACTGCACATGCGTGTCAGGGCTATGAGCCCACTGTGCCCAATGAGGCCTTAGAAATCTGGCTATAGTATACCATGTGCCTGGCTCTGAAAACCACCCTTTCAGGGGCCAACCAAGTCTAGCCTAGTCTTCTGTTCCACCAAGTCTAGCCTAGTCTTCTGCTCCACCAAGTCTAGCCTATTGTGTTCCAAATGCAGTGGACCTGAAGTCTCGGAATGTATTTACTTCCCAGGAAATAAATACTCAATAAAATTTAGTGCTGGTAGGAGACACACCCGTTGGCATCAGGAACTGTAAATAAAAACAACCCCCCACTTCTCTCCTTATTTCATCCCTCCAACCACAAACAAAGGCGGCTCTTCTTTTCGTTCTAAGAAATAGGGGCACGTCGTCCTAGTGATGTGGGGTGATTTTGATGGCATCATTTCTCCAAGCCTGGGAGGTCTGCCTCTCCCTCAGCCTCTGTGTGAAGGGGAACCTTCTCAGATGACTTTGGGGGTGATGTCGTTGTCACGGCCCGTGGTATCCCAGGGGAAACTTCGTGCTCCTAAGGCCGTGGTGAGGGAGGGAAGCTTAGAAGATCCAATTCCATCTGCCCTTACTGAGCACAGAGCTTCTCACATCTTGAACACAGTCCTCAACTCTGTCATGGGAGCCGCCACCTACTCTTCAGGACCAGACTTGTCCCCACCAGCTGGAGACCAGGGATGCTGCGAGGATGGACAGGCCCATCTCTCCTGGCTACATGTGCCATATATTTCCTATGGTTCAAAGACCCCAGGGCCCTCAGGCCCAGAATCACCCCATAACTGGATCGTTCCCTTCATCTCACAATAACCCTGACCCACAGTAGGGCTAAGAGAAGGCAGTCCCTGTCTGGCCACCATGTGGCTCTTCTGACCATGTGATGGGCACCTCACACTACCCGCCTCAGACCTTGAATCGATATGAAGCTGACTCTCAGAGAAGACATTTTATGAGATTTTTTAAAAAGGCACCAGATTTCGTCATTTTCCCCCAGCTTCGCCCTCTCCCACTGCCCGGCTGCTGCTTTCTTTTGGGGCAGCTGTGGATGGTCACGCCCCTCATCTTCATATGGCTCTAGACTCCCTCTCCGTTTGTGTGGCCCGATGGAAAGCATACATGTTCCTTTCTCCCCTGTCTATTCTGTGCCTCAGCTCCAGCCCCAGCCTCAATGCTTCTGAGCCTCAGCAGAATGTTCTCTATACCTGTCTTAGGAAGGGACAAGAGGGCATCCATGTGCTGGTGTAGAGAAAAGACATCTGGTCTTAAATGGAAGTGAAAGTGGGCAAATTCCATGGCTCTTGAGCCCTCCTGCCCCATGTCAGATGAAGTATTCCAGCAAGCATTTATTTAGCTCAGAGTGTAGCATTTTCTTTGCCAAACTCAAAGGGTATTAAAACAACACTGCCAGATTTGGTTGGCAGGGGCCATGGGATATAAATTTGTCGAGTGTCAGGCTCATCCAAGAGTGCTGCAAAACTGCCAGCGCGGTGGGGGATGCACAGGGAATCCTGGGAAAGACCATGGCTGGTAAAGGGCCTACAATGATTGGCCCCCTTGGGTGCTCGAATGACCCCCTAAAGAGAAGTCCCAAACACCTGTGAACAGCTGAGACCTTCAGGGCACCCTGCCTTAGAAAACCCAGCACAGGCAGCCAATAGGAAGTCAGCTTCACCTAGCATTAGCAACTTTCCTCAAGGTCACGAGACGAACACTACAGTAGATGCTTCCAGGTTCAAGTCTGGGCCCCTTTCTTCCAGTCCTAACCTGGGCCTGGTCACTGAAACCATCTTCCATGCTCACTCACACATGCTGGTAGAAATGACAGCGGGGTCCAGCGGTAAACTCAGAGCTTGTTCGGGGACTGCCCTGGCTGACCCAAACCATTGAAAACACATTGAAAACAAGCCAAGAAAACCATGCCCTCGGGGAAAGAGGTGACGTGTGTTCTAGATCCCTGCCACAGCCACCCGTGCCCCACCCCCACCTCGTCCTTAGCTGTTCTGGAAGTTGTTTTTGTTTTTGTTTTCATTCTGTTCCCTCAAAATGCTGCCTCTTGTGCTGTTGGCCAGATATCAGAACACACTGCCTTGATCCAGCCACAGATTTCTCCTCTGCCTGCCTGGCTCTGTCAGCCTCACCTCACTCTCCTGGGTACCATCTGCTTCTTCTTGCTCCCTGTGCCTTTCTTTGCAGTGGTTGGCAGGGCTTAGCTGGAACATTCTGGAGCCAAAGGTCGTGAGTGCTATGAATAACAGCCCCTGAGGGGAGCAGACGGGTCACAGTAGGAGAGCCCCTGCCCGGGCCAGCACCTGCCCTTGACAGGGCTCAGAATAGACTTCTGCAGACGGAGCAAACAGGGCCACGGTGGGACACCTGTCACATGCAGTCCCGCAGGAGAGATTGCCCAAGCCCCACCCCTAAACAAAGTTTGCTGGCAATTCCATGCTTCTGAACCCTGAGAGGACTAGCCCAACCTGTCAT